TTTTTTTAACTGGGCGTTGACGGCAAAAGATTTCTTCCCGCTATAGATAGATTACCATGTATATAATTTTAATGATGTGATATGCTCTATTTCGAATCGACACAATTGCACTTGACCAAAGTACGTTGAATAATCATTGTACCATTCCATATCTCGATGATGAATATAGTTTTATATACCTTTTCCACTGCTTGAGACTCGCAGGCATCGAAAGAGATAAGGTGATCAGGCGCTTGATGAAGCGAGTAATATTTGAGAAGATCGGCCAAGGTTGGATATCCTTGAATGTACGAGCCTAGTTATATGACACTGTAAGAGGAGCCTTTTGTTCAGGATTTAACCATACAGAATATGCCCTCGACTTTGTGAAGATCCCAAAACCATCCTGATAGGCCGTGGTGGGTAGAATGTAGGTGGACGTTTCCAAAGCAATATTTCATGAGTAAAAGCCTCTCAATACAGAACATACCCGTGTCTCACATGGGTAATGGAACACTATCTAGTACCAATCCTATGTCTCGATACTGGACATCATTCGAAACTACTTAAGTGTTGTTAATCACATCCATCAGAATGTATACTTGCCAATATAGGCAAAATAGCAGCCAAAAAAACCTGTAAACAGTCAGTCCAAAAGCATGGATGCATATTACGTCAATGAGGACACAGCGCTGCAGATAGTATTTTGCGCAAAAAAATTGGAATTACCCTCGCAGGTCATATATCAGGGTCTAGCTGAAGGATCAGCTGCACACACCTCACGGACCGTGCCGCCGACAAGAGGCAACTATCGTCGGTAGGCCCTCCTATTGAGTTTACCAGTGGAGATGGTACACGGGGAATGAGTGAATTATGACGTCGGATTCTCAAAACCGAAGGTTTGTTGTCTTTGTTGGTGGAGGGTATATGTGACGCATCACCAACTAAAGCTAGCGTACATGAGAACTGTGGGTTAGGTTTTATTCATGCAACCAAAGCAATGATACCACACCTCACAATCTAGTGGCGTGCATGAGAGGGATAACAGTACTATGGCCAATTGTGATTCCCAAGTGGACAGGAATTTATCACTGTGCATGTTCAGAGCCAGTTGAGGCTACCACCCAATAGCCAAATACATATAGTTTAACATTACTTACCTGTAAAATACTTGAAGTGTCGGACCTAAGTGGCTCTCACGAACAGGACGGCAACCATCGAGAGTGTGATTATACCCTGCAGCATTAGCGGCATGCGGGGAATGTGCCCAAGGGGGACAGGGTAGAGAAAGAAGCAAAAACGTCTCCACTGATGGGACAGTAAGGGGGTGATCCACTCTCTCAGCTACGCCACTATATAGGCGGAGGCCCTTTCAAAATGCAGAATGCGACAAATACAGGAGCTCTCGCTATGTCTGAGAAGGGTAGTTGTAACAAATCAGCTGCTTTGAATACTATGTAGTTGTTGGGCTGTAATTTCTTGAAGAAACATGGTTGCGTCAGTGCAGATAGCTCATATGTTAGGAGTTGTTCCCTGAAGTATTCTGAGACCTCAGCTGAAGAGGCCCCCACCTATGTATGCCCCTTTGTCTCAAGTTGCATTCTTTTCAGGGTAATAAACTTCTGTTGGTTGCTCCTAAGGCTTTGCAGCCGCCAATTTTGCTTATTGACGTTTGTGACAGCTTTTTGTAGCTCTGTAGCCCTTGTTTGACACATTCCCGCAGTCTAGTGCGTTGGGATAGTGAAATAATTCGTATTTCTCCTGAGGTACTGCAAGACTACTATGACAGGGCAACAAACTGAGGAGAGAATTAACCCCTGCCGTGTAACATTTAGGTGAAGCATTGATGCATATTAGCTGCATCGACTTATGTACACGACCGCATAGCCGAAATTCCTATGCAGCGCAAACCTGCTGGACGGTTACACAACATATCATGCATCATAGGAATGCTGATCATCCATCAGTCGGTACGGCTGAGAATGCACTCCGTCGATTCTGTTATTGAATTGGAATTGAGAGCTAGAACATACCCGACATCCTCAAGGTGGCTGGCTAACAATCAGTAGGTCTGGAAGCCTTATTGATGAACTGTTGGAACTGTCCCTATAAAGGCAGGATCTCATAACCATGACCTGTTGTATCAACTACACTACTAATTCTCAGAAGAACTCTACTCAAAGATTCTTATACTGATGAAACAGGAGTGAGCTGCGATCAGCGAACACCTATTCTACCACTCGTTACCATCATGGGGTTCATTCCGCGCTTGCTTTGCCTATTAGGCGGGCTTCTCCCTGCCATTGTCTCTGGGGCTACAGCGCCTACACCCTTCTTCCCAGAGTTGGACGACTTCTATAAGCCAAAGCAAGGATTCTGGGAGGAACTGGACCCCGGGTCTATTATAGATTGGCGGCAAGTATACGTCAATTCGCTCTCGTACGGCATCCCATCCAATGCCACGGCGTATCAATTACTCTACGTCACAAGGGACTTGAACGAAAAGAAAACTCACTCGGTCACGACGATAATAGTCCCGCACAACGCACAGAAAGGTTGGCTCCTCTCGGTCCAGCCCGCCTATGACTCTCCGGACATCAATTGCTCGCCCTCCTATGGGCTCCAAGTTGGCGCGGTCGGCCCTGCCCTGTCCTGGAACATGATGGATCTATCGTTCGTGCTACCCTTCGTGAATAAGAACGGTCCGATCTTGAACATTCCTGATTACGAGGGCTGGAACGCTGCGTTTACGGTCGGCCCGCAAACTGCTTATCACACACTCGACTCAATTCGTGCGGCATTTAATTTCCAGAAGAATTTTGGCTTAATCGGCCTCAAGCCCGACGCCAAAACGGTTATGTACGGCTTTTCTGGTGGCGCGTATGCTACCGAATGGGCCTCCGAGCTACAACCCACTTATGCACCGGAACTCACCCAGATCGTAGGCGCTGCCATGGGTGGTCCTCCACCAAATGTTACCGATACCTATCTTGGCTGCAATATGGGGCCATGGGCGGAGTTGAACGTATGGGCCATGCTGGGCGTAATGAATGCCCTCCCGGAGATGAAGAAATACATGGACAAGGACTTACTAGAGGAGCATCGCGAGAGGTTCTATGGGCCTAAGACACGCTGCAGTCGCTGCTTTGGTAGAGAGCCAGCTCATGAGCCCCTTGAGAACCAAAATATCTCATCCTTCTTTGAACACGGCGACAGCTTCTTGTACAGGTTCCGCAGAGAGCTGACGGAAATTGGTGTTATGGGGAGGCATGGAGCTCCTGCCTTCCCAATGTATATTTTCCAGGGAACGAATGACGAGATTGTGGGTGATATCGACGTGACGAATAAACTTGTGTGTGGTCTTTGTGATCAGGGTACTGTGGTTCAGTACCATCAATATCCTGGGCTCAACCATATGCAGACTCTGCAGCAGGGGAACCTCGATGCTTGGAGATGGATTCTAAATCGCTTCCTGGGTCTTCCACCAACCGGGTGTCGTGCAAAGGATCTCAAGCCTCCAGTTGGTGGAGCGTGTGATGATCTGATGAAGGTGCAAGATGATATAATGACGGATGATGGTTCAGATGCCCAAATTCCTTTAAGGGCCGAACTGAAATGATATGCTGGCGACCACCTTAGAGCACCTGTCTGAACTTGGAGATATGGCTTGGTAACGTTATAGGTCCAGGGATTTTAGTTATTGAAAATAATGATAAATCCTACACACGATATCGGGCAGTACAATGGAATAAAACCTCGGGGTAGCAGAAAAGCAACACTAGCAACCATAAACGTAGTTCCATCACTTTAGAAGAGTAATTCACGTGGTAATGCAGGATCCAACGCTGCAGGCGATGACATCTTGCTTTTGTATCCCATTGACTGTAATGAATCTAAAACAGCAAGAACGGCGACGCTCAATATATTACCCCAGGTTTTGTAGATATAGTTAATGGTGCGTTTATAGGCATGATAAACGTATAACAACGAGGCATCATAGAAGCAAAAGCATAATTGATGGTTGCTTGAACCAGGTTAATGGCTACATCGAGCTTGGTACTGGATATAGCACATGCATGGAGATTTTGGTAGTGGGCTTTTTCAACATTTGAAAAGGAAGGACTAAGAAATCGTCAAAAAATTTGAGCTTTCACTATCTTGATAGTCAACCAAGACTCCGTAGTCCACATTGAAGCAATACTCGTTGTCGCGGTCCGTCTCAACAGGATTATGCGGAATCGTTGACCTATTCACCTTGGCAATGCTGCGTGTCCTAACTAAAAGCGATTTGCTTAAGATCTAGATTCTAGTGTTTTATTACTTAGTCAAATGTCCGACAATTTCCTGTCCCTGAGCTTCTATTAATACCATACTTCTAGCCCCCACGTTGTACTATTGTTAGCTATGCGATTGCTTGGTGCTGGTTGGTCTGTATCCCTGTTGCTGGAGACCATAATCATGTACACGAGGTCACCACGTCGTATCTTAACTTCTAACATATGATTTGCCCCGCATAGACCGCGCTGATCCCTATTTAAGGAGAAGGATTACGTTATATGTGTCTGGGTGTATCTTGAGATAAGCACCAAAATTTGGGGGGCCACATCACAGGGTATACACCCTCTCCTTTTAATACCACACTCTTCGCACTCTACATCTTCCTATTGCACTCGGCCTTGATTACCGTGCTAGGGAAGCGGCGTGATTAGCGGCACCGAGACAGTTAAACGAACTCTACCCGACCTCCGCACCCCAACACCCCTCCATAACAATCTCCACGAACTAACCAGCAATGCCCGACTTAACTATTCCTGTGGCGTGCCCGAACCTCCTGCACGACTGGGCAAACTACCTAGACACAAAATCCTGGGATCGTATGCCGGCTATTTTCGCGCCCAAGATCGACCTGGATTACTCGTCCCTCGGCCAAGTAAAAGCCACCGCTGTGGAGCCTTCTGTATATATCGACCGTTACTCAAGTCCAAGCCAGTTAGGCAATCCCGAAATCAAGTCGCACCATTTTGTCGGGGCGTGCAAATGGACGCGGGAGTCGGAATCACACATCAAGGTTGTTTTCCAAATCATGGCGGTTCATCGCAGGGCTCCATCTGACGGTGGTGCGGCTGTGTTCGCCACGGGCCACGGTGTTAACACTATGGACTTTGCGATGATTGATGGGGAGTGGAAGATCGCGGCGATTAAGGTTGGGGTCCTGTTTATGGAGGGTGATTTCGATGGAATTTTCAAAGCCTAAACTTGGAGTTATTCTGTCTGTCTGTCTGTCTGTTTTTTTTTTTTTTTTTTTTT